TTTCACAGGCAGGTTTTTGTTGTTTTTTAAGAAAAGCTATTTCCCAGCTGGTAGCAAGGTAGAAAAAAGAAATCATAGGAGTCCCCTAAATGTTTTTTCATTTTTTTTCTCAATTTGTAGACTATACTATTAGCAAATGTCCCTCTAAAGCTATATGACATCCACAAGCTCATAGGTTTGTTTTTACTATTTCAAATGACCAGATACATTTTCTAAATGAGATGAATTATACCAGTTTACTCAGTGAAGTTTCTTTTTTCAGTTGCAATATTGTATAACGCTTTATTAATTCTTCTTCTTTATAATGTAACCCTTGAACCAATGGACCTTAGGCTTTCCCCACATGTTAAATAGGACACTTGGACAAAATCTCTATAGTCTTTTCCAACTATAGTTACATAATTTCAAGTTAAATTTTTAATCTAATGTTTTTATACTTTGAAACCCATAGCTGAGTAAAAGTTTTCAAAATACCCACCCCTTAAGTGATAGGGATATTAAGCAAATGTTTTCTTCTGCTTATAGGAAATTATCATGCTCTATATTTACTCTTGTAAAACCATAAACTACGATGTCATAAAAACAATATATATATATATGGATCTCATGGGAGATCCCACACACTTTAGTACCCAACACTCCAGCATTGTCAAAAAGTATGCAATATTCCTAAACGGCAATCTTATCTAATTCTAATTCTGTATCAAGATCTATCAATTGCCTAGCTTGCAGGTAATAAAGTGGCTTTGAGTTCAAGACAATCATGGCTTGGAATGAGTCATAGAAAATACAGGGCACAATAGTAGCATCATTTGACAAGTATAAACTGCATCAAGCACAGGTGTTAGGGGTTATGGAAAGTCTACTAGGGTTAATTAGGATTCTTAGTTCTTAATTAGAATCCTTAGTTAATTAGGATTCTTAGTCTCTAATCTCTACACAGCTGTGAATAATTCAAGCTAGCTATGTAACTTTTCAGTTAGATCTATAAAATGGGTGCAAATTTTCAGTCATTAAGTAGATATCACATACCTGGTTATGTAGCATAGAGTGTATTAAATGCAATGGCAAATATAAAAGCTGAATGACATATGAACCTTCAGGAATTTAAAAAGTAGATCAGTGAGCTAATGGTTTTTATCAATGTAGAAAATCAGACATGTTTATATTCCCAAATGTTTGTGTTTATTCTTACTCATTTGTAGTAATATAGAAAGATTTATGCTTTATTTTGTTTTATGTAGTGTCAGTAGTTCTTAATTGGAAAGAAGAGTAAATTAGGAAGCCATGAAACTTGCATAGTAATTATGGTCTGCCTTTGAGTGAGTTACTCAATACTCTTAGGCTTTTATTTCTTCAGAAATACAGGACTACTTTTTAAAAATCTTGGGGGGGATGAGGTCTTGATCTGTCACCCAGGCTACAGTGCAGTGGTACCACTGTAGCTCACTGCAGCCTTGAACTCCTGGGCTCAAGTGATCCTCCTGCCTCAGCCTCCTAAAGTGCTGGCATGACAGGAATGAGCCACTACACCTGGCCAAGGACGACATTATTTTTTAAGATCCTGACAAGCTCTAAAAGATTATGAACCATTTCTAAATATAGGATTTTGCTTTGACTACCAGTTAGTTATACTGTTTACAAGGGAGTTCAATTTTTAATTGAATGAGTTTGAATCTTTACATCATATAATTTTATCTCTGAACCTCACTCCCACCATCCAAAACAAGGGAATATTGGACTATGTCAAGAAACTTATTTTGGCATAAATTCTTATTAATCTCAGAAAATCCAGGCTAATCATAATACAGAAAAATATCTTCCATAGGTGCCTGTCTTGTGGGTAATTTTTGCTAAGACTGTTTCTTCTGGAAAAATATTTTCCCAAATTAAAAAATTTTTTGAAAAATAACCACAGTAATTAACCCCTTCCCTCCAACTAGGTTCAACAGGTGAAGGAATTATGAAAATTGTCTTTTTAAGTAATTCCACATTTCTCAATTTAGGGATTTAGAGAAGCCCTGATGTATGGATACAGGGTTTTTCATAGAGAGGCACACAACAAAAGGGAATAGTAAGGTAATTCAAAATTAAAGACTAGAGCCATGGGATTGTCTAAGGAAAGAATTCAGCTTTAAAACTTGCAGTTCCATTGAACAAATAAGACTATCTTTTGCCTGTGCTAGTTTCGTGTTTGCCCATCCCAGACCAGGAGAGATACGGATATGCATCCATGAACAAGTAACCTTACCTCTTTGGACCTCAGTTTCCTCAATGTCATGTTTGCAGTATGGCAATTTGCTGTGACAAATTAGAAACTTAGAAGTATTCTGAGAGCAGTTTTGTTGACATACTATTTTGTTTGCTTGCTGAGTGTAACAAAGAAAAAAAAATAGGGAAAAGAGTAAGCAGTAGCTTCCAGAGTTTAGGTATCTTGATGCTTGAATCTCTATTGGTAATTACTGAAACTAAAGCTCCAATATTGTGAAGACTATGGCAGCCAGACCTCGAGTTTCTGATCTTTCTTTCTTCCCCACACTGATGACAATAAATGAGGAAAGACAAATGGATCTGAGCCTCAGGACCTGGTTCTTTTCATTTGGAGAACTGGACAGTTGATGGATATTCTTTCTGGCTCTGGTTGAGAGCTGAAGCATTTGCCAGACCCATTCATCAAGGCTCTGGGTCTTGCTGTTAATGTTCTCTATCCAAAGAGAACTGATACTCAGAGGAGCTCTGGCTGTTCCTCAGACCATGTCTTGATGTAAATTCTTTACCTAGACCGATTTCTATGAGAATTTTTCCAACATTTTCTTCTTGAATTCTTATGGTTTCATGCCTGAGGTTTAAGTCTGTTATCCCTTATGAGTTGATGTCTGTGAGAAGTACTGATCCTGTTTCAGTCTTCTACATGTGGCTATCCAATTTTTCCAGGATCATTTATTGAATAGGGATTCTTTTCCCCAGTGTATGTTTTTATCTGCTTTGTCAAATATTAAATGGCTATATGAGGATGGTATTATATCTGGGTTCTCAGTTCTGTTCCATTGGTCTATGTCCTTGTTCTTGTGCCAATACCATGCTATTTTGGTTAATGTAGCCTTGTAGTATGGCTTGAAATCTGGTAAATTGATGCTTCCCAGATTGTTCTTTTTGCTTAAGATTGCTTTGGCTATATGGGGTCTTCTCTGGTTCTATACAAAGCATTGAAAAATGCTGTTGGTATTTTAATAGGATTGCATTGAATCTGTAAATCACTTTGGGTAATATAGACATTTTAACAATGTTGATTCTATGGACCCATGAGTGTGGTATGTTTTTCCATTTGTTTATGTCCTCTGCTATTTCCTTCCTAATTGTTTTGTAGTTCTCACTGTAGAGGTCTTTCATCTCCTTGGTTAAATACATTCCTAGGTATTTTACTCTCTTTGTTGCTATTGTGAAGGGAATTGAGTCTTTGATTTGGTTCTCAGACTGTTGTTGGTGTGTAAGAATGCTACTAATTTGTGTACATTGGTTTTGTAACCTGAGACTACCGAATTTATTTATCAGTTCCAGTAGTCTCTTGGAAGATTAATTTGGGTTTTCTAGATATAAGATCATAATGTCAGCAAAGAGCGATAGTTTGACCTCTTCTGCCCCCTCTTGGATGCTCTCTATTTCCTTCTCTTGTCTGATTGCTCTGGCTAGAACTTCTAGCACTAAGTTGAATAGAAATGGTGATAAAGGCCAAACTTGTCTGGTTCCAGTTCTAAGTGGGAATGCTTTCAGTTTTCCCCCATTCAGTATGATGTTTGCTGTGGTTTTATTGTATATGGCTTTAATCATTTTTAGGCCCTGGAGCATTTAGAGGGAGCCTAGGTATATTATCCCCTGAACTGAGGAGATGGAGTTGCAGGTCAAGACACATAAAAAAGGTAGAGTACTGCTCATACCACCCTGAATGTGCCCAATCTGGTCTGATCTCAGAAAAATGTAGAGTACTAGAGAAGTGAGAGCTGCACATTGAGAAAACTCTGGAGATACATAAAGGATCCCCCTCAAATATTCAGTTGAATACTGGTCAGAGCATGTAAGCAAGAAGACCACCCAAACTTAGGGAAAGACTTACGTGAAAAAATAAAATAGTGCCCATGGCTCACGTGAGGCTTAGAATAGCCTCTGTTTTCAATAGCCATACTGAAAAACCTCATAATTTGTGGATATTGGTACTAAGTAGTAAAAAGGGTTTTGTCTTAGTATCAGGCTAAATATAGCTTAATCTAAAAGCTGCTCTGGCCCTATCTAACAACATTTAAAAGATAGATTCTAAGAGATCACAAAATTGTGTCCAAGTAATGATACTTTTCAGGACAAAGCTCAAAAATAGGAATACAAAAATATTCAACGCCAAAGAAAAATTCACAATATTTTCTGCCCAATCAAAAATTATCAGGCATCTTAAGACAGAAAAATGCAACCTATGACACAAATCAAGTTGAAACTCATTCAGAATGACAGAGATAACAGAATTAGTACATAAAAATATTAAAGCAGTTGTTATAACTGTATTCTATATGTTTAAGCAGTTAGAGGAAAGATTAAGTATGTTGAATATAGACAGAAAAGATGGGGGCTAAAATACCCAAACTGAATTCATAGAAATAAAAACTAAAGTATCTGTGACAAAAAATACCTTTTCTGGGATTATAGCAGATTAGACATTTAAGAAGAAAAGTTTTGTGAACTTGAAAATATAGCAAGAAAACTATCCAAAATGAAATACAAAAAAAAAAAAAGTGAAAATAAAAGAAACAGATCAGTGAAATGTGGGAGAATTTGCAAGTAATTAAACTTGAAAAGGGAGGGATATAAAAAAATATTTAAAGAAATAATTTTTTTTTTTTTACAAATTTGATGAGAACTGTAAAACAGAACCAAAAAACTCAAAGTTTTAAATTCAGACACATGAAAAAACATGCCAATACATAATATTGTAATAAAATTAAAAACAGTGATAAGAAAAATCTCAGAAAAACAATTATAACGTACAGAAGGATAAAAGCAAGTATTACAGTAGCTTTTTCATCAGAAACAATACAGGTGAGGAGACAGTGAAGTAACATCTTTAAATTACTGAAAGAAACATTAACTCAACCTTGAAATTTTTTGCCAAAAAATATCTTTCAAAGATGAAAACAAATAGACTATTTCAGACATATGAAAGCTAAGGGAATTCATCACCAGTTGACCTGAAGTACAATAAACGCTAAAGGAAGTCCTTTATGCTGAAGAATAATACAACAACAGAACCTGGGTCTATACAAAATACTGGAGAGTTCTAGACATTTTGACTACATGGATACATATGAAGATAATTTTTATTATTTTAATCTTTTTTAAAATGGCAATTAAGGAGAAAAATAACAATATATAAAATATATAAAATCCATAGCACAAGGCCAGAAAGGAAGAAATAGAAATATATTGTTTTAAGATACAGTACTATATCAAAGTGCTGTATCATTTGGATGTAGACTATGATAAATTAAAGATATTTATCATAAGCCCTAATTAATCACCCTTTCTCACTGGAAAAATATAAAAGTTTTTTTTAAAAAATAATGTTTTGGAGGAAAACTTAGGAACATTTATCAGAATTTAAATTGGATGCACATTTTGGACCACCTCTTGACCTTTCAGAAACTGTCCTAAGGAGATTCATAATACGAATACCTTTTAATATAGCAATTCCTTTTCTAGGCATTTAGCCTAAAAAAAAAAATTAAACAAGTATCCAGACATGTGGAGAAGAATTCCTTACAATATTGTTTGTAAAAGCAAAACATAGAAGTTAGAAACAAGATCAATGTCATTCAAAATTATTTAAATAAATTCTGATGAAGTCATCAATGGGATGTTAAAAATAAAAATTATGATATATAACTATATTTAGATATAGTTAAATGTAACAGTGGAAATAAATCCACAGTATATTGCTAGGTAAAGAAAGTTTAAATAATATAAAATATCCTTCTTATTAAAAATAAAAAACCAAATGTATATACATGGGCATGCCCAGAAAAATGTCTAGAAGAATGTATAGAAAGTTTCTCATAGTGATTATCTTTGGCTAGTGGGATTTCTAAATTCTTTTTGATATTTGTTTATTATTGCAAGGAGCATGCATTAATTTTACAATAATTTTTGAACTAGTGAAACTATCTCCATTTGGGAAAAATACCTCCTAAGAAGCATAAACCACCTAATGATGTATTTTAATGTCTCCTATATTTTTCAATCAGAAGTTTCTTCCAATTGTGGACCATTTCATATTGATGAGAAAGGAGAAAAGTTTTTAAATCATTCATTGGCTTTTTTCTTTCATGTTGTTTCAAAACACATATATGCTTAAAAAAATTTTATTTCCCTGAGTATTAGGTATTATTGTGATGTTGTAACATTGTTATCAGGCTCATTTGCAAACTGGATTTTATTCTACATTTTACTATTTAAGCACTTTTAAGTGAATTGACGTAACTAATTTTCATGACATTACATTTGCTGTACATGAGTGTGAGCTCTGAATAAGACCCTGCACCAGGTCATTTTGTGTCATGTGGGAATCCTAACAACCATCTCCAATAAGAGCCAAATCGTTGCTCCAGATCATAGTCCAGCTAGGGTATAGGTTCTTTCTTAGCATGAATCAATCCAAACAGTCTGATGGGATCATCATGAATGTTTTCTTCTATTGCCTGGATTTCTGGTGAGAAACTGTTGACTGAAGTGGCCTTAGAAATGCTGGCATCCATTGCATGTAACTGCATATCTTCATCCTTGTCTGACAAGTGAGTATTCTGTTTTCTGGGCTTTCTCCGCTTCCCCTTAAAGCTGTGATCAAGAGAGGCGTAGAACATCTGTGTTTCACCAATCACCTAAAATAAAGGTATATTAATTTTTTATTATTTGCCTGTTTTTAAACTTCTGGAAATTTCTATGGCCTATGAAAAACAAGAAACTTGTTTTCTTGGCTTCTGCTACCATGTTTTGCAAAATTTGTCAGGATGACAGAACAAAAATCAGTTGTTAACTGACAATTGAGCTGGGGGAAAAAGCTTAGATGAAACTTTTTCCTGGATTTTTATTTCTTATACTAAAAATGTACATGAACGTTTTAGGTTGACTCTTGCCTACTGCACCTCTACTTCCACATCAGATACCTCTTGTTCCAGTTGCTCTTACCAAGTAGCAATACAAGTAGCATGATAGGGAGGAATTTAACAAATCACGAGGTCTACTTTACATGAGCTTTGTAACTGGCTATTTAATGAAACCCATGAAGTCCACAATTTTTCATATTCAGAAGTGTAAAAATAGCAGTGTCCACTTTGACGACTAGCATTGGGCAAAGAATTAAAATTTGCATTTTTCCCTATTATTTCCTTCTTGTTTGTCTGTCCCTGGATCCTCTTTGAGCTCAATTTAGGTGGACGTTGGAAATATCCATTCATATCCAAGAGGATTAAGTGGTCTTCTCTGGATTAGAGCTGGGCCAATACTAGCATAAGAAAGACAGAAGAGTAGGGTAACTTGGGGAAGCAACAGGCTGAAGGCAAGACTTGAATTCAGTGCTGGAAAGCCTAGGACTGAATCTCAGCTCTGCCATTTATACTGATGAGACCTTGGTCAGTTTTAGAAACTATACTGAGCTTCAATTTTCTTGCCTATCAAGTAACAGTAGTAATAACTATCTCACAGTTTTGACATAATTAGCAAATGGAGATAATATATATGGAAGCTATAACTACCATCCAAAAGGTAGGTGGTATTATAATTACTAGAAATTATTAAAATTTTTCAATAATTAAAATTATTAAAATTAAATAATTAAAATTATTAAAATATTAGGGCAACTATTGAATAAATTATTTCTGTGTTAAGAGTTTACATTTAAAACTAGGCCAAAATTCTAACATTTGGATTAACGAAACCCTTACTGCAGGGGTAAGAATCATCCTATTGGCACTTATTTTCATGCCAAGAGTGGAATGTCAAATATTCTTTACAGAATATGTGCAATAGCTGCCTCACTGGTATCATTGCTCAGTCTCTTCTCCTCTGTCATATGTCCCATATACTGTTTTCAAATTATCTTCCTGAGGTACAACTTTCATGTTTCACCATCCTGTTCCTCCAAATCTTAGCCTGTAGACTGAAGTCCGAATCTCCTATTCTGTCATTTAAGGTTTTCCATATCTGACACTACTCTGTGTTTTCAATTGTGATTCCCTCTACTCCCCTACATAAACTCTGTATTCCAGGCCAACTAGAAACTTCACTGCTTCCTGTACAGACCTGGTGCTTTTATCTGCCTTGCCTTTGCCCAGATAGGAAAGACGTCGGTGAAATGCACTCAGTAACAGAAAAAGGTGCCTATCTTTTTTGTCTGTCTACTACTTTGTTCCATCCCTCTTCCTTTGATAAATTCTCTCTGGGAAATTTCTCTCCTCTGTTTGGTTCTGAAGAGGCTGCTATTTAGAGTGCTGTACTCCAAAGATACCATAGGACTAAGCATGTGACCTAAATTTGACCAACCATCAGTTGCCACCCATCCCTCTGCTAACAGGGGGTGTCCCAGGAATAGGTATGTGATTTTAGCAAAGCCAATTAGATGATACCTTTAGGATTCATACACACATTTAAGGACAGAAAAGGTATCTTTTCCCTAAGGTTGAGATGAAAAAAAAATGGGGACTTCCTGTGGCTGGCCCAGCCTTAATGGAAGAGTCTGTTGATAATAGAAGTCTGTTGATAATAAAATCAGTAACTTCATGAGACAAAATGGAGAGTACCCCCATATTCAATCATGTCAAAACAAAATACACCCTTGGATCTCCTTTTATGCTAAAGTGTTTTGAATTTGATTTCTGCACTCTACAACTGAAAGCATCCCAAACAATGCATGTTGGATCAACACTCAGTCACTGTTATTAAGTGCTACAGAGTTCAAAGAATGTAAGTCCTAAGAAAGAACCATACATTGTACATTTAATAGTCAGTTGAGACTTCTACAGTGCTGTTTCAGTTGAGTACATAGGGGTAAAGAAAGGTAAGAATCAGTTCAGAAATTGGAAGGAAAAATAGGAAGTAGTTGTTTTTTTTTTTTTTAAATATTGGGGAGATTTTTGCATATTGGTAGGCAAATAGTAATGATGCATTTAAAGAAAAGATGGAAAAGTTCTCTTCCTTGGTGCTGCCTACAGAGGTGGCGGCCATCTTCTACTTAGCATCATGGCTGTCCTCCGACCCCTTGTGCAACCCAAGATTGTCAAAAAGAGGACAAAGAACTTTATCCGGCACCAGTCAGACTGGTCTGTCAAAATTAAGTATAATTGTGGGAAATCCAGAGGTATTGATAACAGGGTTCATACAAGATCCAAGGGCCAGATCTTGATGCCCAGCAGTCATTATGGGAGTAACAGGAAAACAAAGCTCATGCTGCCCAGTGGCTTCTAGAATTTCCTGGTCTATAACATCAAAGAGCTGGAAGTTCTGCTGACATGCAACAAATCTTACTGAGCTGAGATTGCTCATAATGTTTTCTCCAAGAACTGCAAACCCATCATGGAAACAGCAACCCAGTTGGCCACCAGAGTTACAAATCCTAGTGCCAGGATGCGCAGTGAAGAAAATGAATAGGCAGCTCACGAACACATTTTGTGTCTAAATAAAACCATAAAAACTGACAAAAATGGAAAATGAAGAAAAAAAAGGTGCAAGATCCTGAAAGAATTAGAAGTGTTTAAAAGCATGAGTAAGAGTTTTGGCTTTGGAAAGGAAAGAGGATATCTCTGACAGAGGGAAGGGAGAGATTAGAGATTTGGACATGAAGAGAAGAAGAATAAACTCATACATGTATCCCTCAAATTTTGTAGGGCATGGGAACTATTGTGAATTTATTTTATCATTAGGTTTCCTGATTAACTCTTCACAATTAATAGTAGACTGGGATACTACAATTACACTTTCTGAAATATATAAATCATTATAAAAGGGCAAGTAGCTTATTTATATTTTTTCAAAGAAATGCTTTATCCATCAAGCTTTATGCATAATATTGTAGATACCTTATGCTTTTGTGATTGGCCAAAGTAGCAAAGTATTATAGCAGCAAACTGAATAGTGTTTTTTCATGATAATGATCATTCTAATGAAATGGAATTAAGCAAATATAAAGAGATTACTTCTAATTTGTGAAACTAAATTTATGAGAAACAGTATAATACAGTATGGACTAATTTCCTTGGAAGTAGCTCTAAATATATAACGTATAGAAGAACAGACTTTTAAAGACATTTTGAAGCTTTGCATAATTTCTATGTGAAAGTCAAATTCAGCTCAAAGCTGGCCTGTACAATTCATATTTATTAAATAGTAACTTCTATTCAGAATTCTTAGTACTTTTATAATTAAAGTGCTGTGAATCTCTACATTTCAGATGGTGTATGGTTATATTTCAACCTTCTTTGGGAACTTTTTATTTCCATGGATTTAGCAGATTATATCATGTGATTTTTCATACTTTTATCTAAAAATACATCTTATAATTAATGGAAAATCAGATGACAGATTTGGTGACTGTCTTTCCCAAACCTCACCACATCTTGATTTCTTAATGTAAATTTCAAGAAATCTGATTTTGTAGAAGATTCATATAAAGAAAAAGAGAAAAACTCTACCTTATTGGGAAGTTTCCAAGATGTGACTCATTTTAGGGAAGAGAATGTTTTCTATCAGACATAAATTTAGATTCTGTCTACTTAGTCCTGTGGTGCTCTAGGGCAAGTTTTTCATCCTTTGCAAGTATTTGTAAAATGGGAATGATAATACTGCCTCCCTCATAGGAATCTAAGGAGATAATGCACATAAAGCAGGTAATACAAGGCCTAATACCTAGAATTGCTTAGGAAATGCTGACCCTATTACTACTTCTAGGCAGAAGCAAGAAAGAATATAATTGGAGAGACAAGGTCTGGGAGGAAAAGAAAGAAGACTATTTTAACTGAAATTTATACACTTCAGGAGCACGTAGGCTAAGAATTGTCAATGGCTTTAATGAAATTAGTGCTATATCTGAGAATGTTGAACTGATTGTGGTAGGAAAAGGAGAAACTATCCTTTTCTTCTTGGGTTTTTATGTTTCTGCTTAGGTTTTTGTCCTGCCTATGCCCACATTAGCTGTGTTTCACAATCTCTTGCCATAAGACTATAGTGATAGGACTTGTATTAAAACTTAGTCGTTTGCCTTTTAAAATAGGGATATGATGTTTTATATCTAGCTAATTTATCTTATAACTAACCCCCCTTCTCATGAATTCCTGACATCTAGGTCTTGTGAGCAAGTTTTATATTTATCTCTGATACACATAATTCTTTTCATCTGAAAGAAAAAGCTTAATTATTTAGGAATAATGCCACTTTTCGTTTCAAATCTATTGCCTTTGTGACTGTACACAATTTTGACTCTAGTGTGGTTACAGTTCCATTTACTTGCCTCTGAGTTTACCCTTAGAGCTCAGGTCCCAGCACTGGACACCTGATTCAGATTGCAAAATTTCGTATTTCAGGACGTGTATCAAAATATACTACTCTTATACTCTTGAAATATGCATATGTGCTTCAACCTAGACTTGAACTCAACCCCATAATACACAAAAAAACTTACCTGTGCAGATGGGGAGGCTTCTTGCATCTCATTTACAGCTCTCTCTGGTCGGGCTTTCATTTGTTCATAGCAATTTTCATCCATTGGTTCTTGGGAGTTAAAAAGATTGTGATTTTATAATGGAAAAGTAAAAGCTTTCAGCATGAATAAAAATACATGATCCAAATAGCATTTAGCTGTAAATATGAAATCTCCAAGAATCGCTTAACTACTCTCTTTGGTGGAGATACAGAAGTAAGGAAGCACAAACTGTTAACTACAGATCAGATGGTGAAATCTTTTGCCCCATAGCATTAATGATAAGACAAAAAGAAGTCCTTGGCATAAGGACTAGATCATAATAATCATTTTATACTATTGCAGGACATAATGGTGTCAACTTTAGCTACCATTTAGATGTTACATAGATTCCATGAATTAAAGAACTGACTGTATTCTCTATTTAGGTGTGATTGCAAATGGTGCATGGTGCATAGGCACAGTACATGTACATCAATGATTATAATTTGTTCAATGAGTAAGAAATTTTACTTAAAGGCTATTTATTTTTGAGACAGGGCCTCTCTGTCACCCAGGTTAGAGTATAATAGTGCAATTATTGCTCACTGTTGCCTCAAACTATCTTCCTGCCTCCACCTCCCAAGTAGCTAGAACTACAGGCATATGCCACCAATGCCTGGCTAAATTTTTGTGGAGATGGGGTCTTGCTATGCTGCTCAGGCTGTTCTCAAACTCTTAGCCTCAAGTGATCCTTCTGCCTCAGCCCCCCAAAGTGCTAAGATTATAGGTGTGAGCCACCACTTCCAGCATACTTAGAGGCATTTTACTTTAGATTATTTTTCTTTTTTGTCCCATCAATCAGTCACAGGACACCTCAGCTAGAATGCCTCAGAGTCTGGGACTGTACAATGGTGGTCCTTGGTATCTAGAGCTTCTGTGGTTTCAGCAGCTAGCAGACCTGCACACATTTTGATCCTGTGGAGACATGCTTATTGAATTGTCCATACTTCGCTTCCCCAGATATGCCCATTTAAAAGAGAGAAGAAAAAGAGGTAGTGAGACTATAGGATGGCCAGTAACCTGGCAGAGATGTGGATTACACAAATTTGACCCCAGAGAAAAAAGATATTACCTACTATAACAACAAGAACCTAATAATCATTCATTCCTTTTTGAAAAGCAACACAGAGAAAGGGTACATAAAGTGATGTTTCTCAAACCACGGTCTATGGAAAATCTACATCAGAACCACCTGGGATATTAAGTAGCAGATTCCTAAGCTCTTGTCTGGAACTGCTAAATTGGAATCTGTGGGAGTGGAAACCACAAACACAGTGGACTTTGAGCCACCATATTGCATAAGAATTTAAGTTCTCATATATTACAGATGGGTGCCACAATTCTGCAATGTGAAACAGGAAGACAAATTATTTTTAATACTAGATTCCTTAGAGATCAGAGGACACATTACAATGGAGGGAAAGATAAAATTAAATAAATTCTTAAAATCATATAAAATAAAATTTACATTTTCCTACCTTTGGGAGAATCCCATATTCTTCTGATCTACAGATATTAGATAAATTTAGTACATTACTGGGCATCTGTTTTTGAAATTTGGAGAGCAACAAAAATTAACCCTTGAGTCTCCCATGATGAATTGAATGAGTACTTACAGGGAAAGGATGATAGCTTCTCTCATCAGAGCTCTGGGATTAGACCAAGGTTGTCTATTTTGGAGAATTATGAGTGTTTTGTTTTTAGGTGGTTGTGATGGTATTAAGTAAGAAGGGATGCCAGGAATTAAAGAGCATTTGTCATATAAGAACAAAAAACATATAAACCACTTGGCAATGATTTAGCTTTCTCCTTCAACCTGAGATCAATCCAGCCCTAGGTTCTTTGATTAAAACATGAGAAATCAGAGAAAGTGTTCATTGTTCTAGATTATTCACTGTAGATTCCCTTTTGTATGCAGAGTACAAAGCACTGTTTCTATGGCCCTTTTTCTAGAAATAGCTTTATTTCATAGAATTCTATGTGTGTCAAAATTCACAGTAACAGAGTCTTCCTGTATTCTTGTTACTATTAGAGCAACATGAAGAAAATACAGAAAAACAGGATGTTGATTTACACTGAATATTGCAATACAATTTACAATATGTAGCTTTGGAAATGTAGCCTAAATAATATACAAAATATACTTGAATTTATGGTGACTGCTAGGATATTTAAATGTGATTATGATTTTGAAAAAGTATCACTTAAAGTACTTTGTGGAATTAAGTGAGATTTACTTATTATTTATGAAAAATATAACTTACCTGAAGTCATATTATCTAAATTACCATAAATTGGTATGTCGTCTTCATTATAATACTCATCAACCCTATAACAAGGAAAAATAAATTACCTTATTAGAGTCCACTTTACACACAGTTCATAACTAATTTCTCAGTTAAATTCAATGTTGAGTGAACTATTGCATGGTTTTTTTCAACCTCAACCAACCAAGGTAGATGTGATCTTGTGCAACTGAGCAAATACATGCAGGTGTGTGCACATGTGTGTGTAAATTTAAAAAGTTGGCTTTTGGACTTTCTTTGAAAGAATAATAGCAAATACTTATTTAGTACTCACTGTGTGAAGTGCTATTTCCAGTGTATTTCATGTATTTGTCCATTTAATTCTCACAATTCCAACAGGTATACACTATATCATTCCCATTTTACCAATAAGGAATCTGAGGCGCAGAAGTTATATAACTTACTCAAGGTCACAAGACTAGGAAATAGCAGAGCTGGGACTTGAACCTAGGTTTATCAGTGCTCTTAACTATACCATGGACTGCCTCTTTACTCACCCAGAGTATCACTTTGAACAGTCCTGAAACTGTTTACTAAATAAATATTGCACACTCAAGGTGACAGATATAATAAAATGATTGATCACTTGTTATGTCCAGATGCTGGGTTATGTGTTTTACATACATTACATCAAAGGCCCAGGGAATTTCTGCAAAAATAGTATCATTCCCCACATTATGCAGAAGCTTAAGCATCAAATAGATTCATTTATTTTTCCCAGGGGTGTGTGTGATAACAGAAATAACCAGTTATGAAATTTTTTCTCTGTACCAGTGCTCATTCAACCCTCAGGACAATACTATGAGATGCATATTTTTATTTCTATTTTGCATATAAGGAATCTGGAACTCAATGAGGTTAATTAAATTGTCCAAAGACACACACTAACTGGCAGTACTAGGATTGTAATGCAAGTTTGGTCCTAAGGCCCTGTGCTCTGTTCACATTGTGAGGAAGTCTTGCAGAGGGTGATACAATTCAAAGGCTATATATAGGAATATAGTCTAGGAGACTATACAGGGACCATAGTTTTGTCTCCATCCCCACCTGTTACCCTCCAGTCAAGAGAACTGATGAGAATACACAGCTGTTTGCTTCTTGCTAGTTGATTAAATTTCCTGCCAGCCTCATGTGAATAATGCTATTAGGATTATAGTAGATATCCTACAATTGTCACTAGATTGTCATCCTACCAATGTCATCCTATCATTGATGATGGCCCTGGTGATCAGCTTTCATAATGGCAGGGTGGGAACAGAGGAACATGTCAGGCAGTGAGAATGGCATTTCATAAAGTAGTGCCAACTGCTTTAACTTTGAGATCACATGTCACTGAGAGCTGGAGGGAATTGCATCAAAAGAAAAAATAAATCTTATCTCAAGGAATAACACCTGTATTACTCCCCATGCTTCTGAAAGAAGACACAGTAGATATAAATGGTAAGTCAGTGTAGTTAAAACAACAGTTCAAATAATTCCTGTATAAAATGGCTTGAAAAGCCCAGATGCTAGCATGTATTTCACTTATCTGATAACAAAGGAATCATCCATAACCTTTCTTTCCATCTGGTAATTCAATACAGCTTAGTATTAGGATAAAGAGTTGTTTCTGCTCATGATTTTTCTCTGGCTATGCAGAGAATATAATAGCAAAAGGTGAAGAATTTTTAATAAGACAATCCATCCATTCTCTTAGCCCACATAGATAGCAGATACAACCTGCAAATGATAAATCATGTCCAAAAAATGAATATTGTTTCATTCGCTATGAATGAAAATAAGATGTGATTTATAATGCAGTGCCCTGTGTCTATAGGCAGGTCTCAAATGATTAATCATCTCAAATAGGCAATTGTTTCTGAATAATAGTTTAACTAACAAATTTAAAGATGTATTTTTACTTAGCAATGCCAAATAACTCTAGCCTATCGCAAATATGTAAGAAACTTAAAGAACAAATGTTTGCCCATGTTTTATGTGGAAAATTAATAACTTTTAAAAATGAATTAATAATTGAGCTCATCTGAGAGGCTAGTGCACCTCTGAGTTTTGGGTCAGATCAAACTCTCCATTGTTCTGAACATATATGAAATGATCCTCTAACCAGTAAGTACAGTTACTAATACTACAAAATTTTTTTTAACAGGACTAATTATATCTTTTACTATGATCCAAATTTTGTGCTTTTATTTATATTTTTTCTAGTCTTTAAATTGTTATTTGTGTTTTATTTATTAGGTCCTTTTTTAAAAAAAAATCCTCATTCTTTATGATCAGGGTCATTTTAAATAACTAAATTCAGTGCTTTTAAAAAATCATTATTACTTCTACCTGGATGACCTTGGATTTAAGTTCTCTAACTTGTAATTGTCTTATTTACAAAATAAGAATATTAAACTAGCTGATTCCTATTGTTCATTTCAGCTCCCAAATTCTATGATATAGGATTCCAACATCCAATAAAAATGAAAGACATTTCTACAAAATTAAATGAAACTTTTAAGGGGCTGTAAAATTGACAGATTGAGGAAAGAGCAAGCTGAGGGGTCTATCAGAAGTTGGCTTTGGTAATCGTTAACTTTATTTGTTTAATAGGCATTTCTTTGAATAGGCAGAATGTAAGTTTGGGCTCTGTCGGCATATGAATGTTACTTAAAACCATGAGAGAGGATGAAATTATTTATGGAATGAGTGTAGATAGAGGAGGGGTTCACTAGATAAGCCCTGGGCACTCTGATGTTTAAGTCAGGAACCAGCAAAGTAGTAGATGCTGCTAAGAGAAAAGGGAAACCAAAGGGGAGCAGCTCAGAGCCCAGAGAAGCGAGTGTTTCAGGTAGAGTGCCAGTGTGTCGGCTGCTGCAGGTGGACCCAGAGAGATGAGACTGAGATTTGACCATGTGAAGTTTATTGGCAACCTTGACATGAGCTAAGTCAGTGGATTAGTGAGGACAGAAGACTGAGTGTAGAGTAGGTTGAAGAAAGAGGAGGAAGAGAAGCCAGCAAACATAGAATGTAAATGGATCTTTCAGGTTTTGCCATAAAGGGGCAGAGCAATGGAGAGGTAGCTATAGGGCAATCTAGGATCAAAGAAGTGTTTTTTTTTTTTTTTTTATTAAAGATATGGACAATATAGTCTGTTTTTATGTTGATGGGAATAAGACAAAAGGGACAGAAACAGTAATGATTCAGGAGAGAAAAGGGAAAGTTGTTAGAGCAATGCATTTTTGAGTATTTGAATACTACATTCTTGCTTTCTTTGGCATGGCCTGTGATATGCGTGTAGGTGTCTTGAACTTGGGGTGGGGGACACCAGTAATAGAACTCTGATCCATAAGAAGATTGTAATCCACAGCAATATTTTGTGGGGCTGGAGGCTGTGGAGTGAATCCAGTAGTGTTCTCTACAATGGGACCGTGAAGGGATACTTGGAGCCATGATATCTAACACTGAATTTTCATTCTCTTGATCAGTGTTCAAGTCCCTCTCGGATATGCCGGTTTCTTTGTAAAGTGTGTTAAGCACAATGAGCTTATATTGCCAGTGCTTTGGAGCCCTTTTAAAAGAAGGGTCTTCTGCCAAAGTTTGAGGGAAGGAGACTGGAGAGAACTACCAGCATGGAGATTTCTGATTTCTAAAGGGATGGGGAAGAATCTGTGAGCGGTGATGAGGGGGCAGCCAAGAATAAGGTTTGTGGGACACGTAAACACTTCTCAGGGATTCCCAGATATACTTAGGAAAAGGATAGGTCTTCTTGCAGTCACACAGGGTTGGGGCTTGTTGTGGTTATTTGTGCATTAAATCAAATACACATTGATGGCAATGTGGCCATGGTCATAATGAGTGCCTGGCCTGCACACCCCCTGGGACATCTGAGATGTCAGGGAAAGAGAGCCAAGAGTCCTATTGTCATAACGATGATCAACCCTGAGAACAGGTAATAGAACAATTGAGATGAAAGCTCTGCTCCACAGCACTAGTTAAATTTGGTTAGTATCCTTAGCAAAGAAGAAAAATGAAGAGGATCTCCACCCTGCAGAGCTCCAGAAATCCAAGGAACCACTGGAAGATATAAAAGTAGCTCGACTGAGAAAATGTTTTATGATAAAAGCACCTCTAGTGCCACCCAGAAGCAGTCCATGAAAAGCTGCTGGGAATTAGTCCTAAACTTTTTGACAGGGACTCTGAAAACTGAGAAGTCAGGACGAGCTTAAAATAATTGTAAACCTAAACTGCTTTCCTAAATTAGGGGCTGAACATACTGGAATGGGCAGCAATTTTCTTAGACCTTAATTTTCATCTAGTAAAGCAGAGCTTTTGTATTAACTATACTCTGTAAATAAAGACCTATAATCTGTATTTTTCAGATGATAAAACTGAAGTTTATTAATGCTCTATCACTTTCCAAAACTAAAAATCTAATTGCAAGGGTTTGTTTAAAATAAAAAATTGTCTGGATCTCAAGTCCATTATAGTCCCACTGCATTATCTTCCTAACACAAATCAAAAGTCAAGAGTTATATAGAATTGTTTTAAACGAAAAATAAAGTGGACCAAGGGTCAATAGCAGCAAGCGCGTATTTGACTTTCTGTTAGATTTGGATGCTATGCTGTCCTGAAAGTGATCATGTTTCTGACATACTAGTGCAGGGATTTGGGGAAGCAGGAAGATCAGATCAGAGGAGCAATTTCTTTTCTTTCCAGCATGGTTTTCCTACTGAGTAGAAGCAAGATGAGATGTGATGAAAGTTTCTTTCTTTTCTATCTAGCCACAAACCATTTTGTTACTGAAGAGGAATCAGTAATTCCAACCCCATAAGAAAGACCTTATTTCCACTTGTTCTGTTTTAATGTTATAAATTTTAATGGCTGGAAGTAACTTTTTGTTCCTGGAGCCTCCATCCCCCATCACAAAAGTGATTTTGTTTCCTAAACCACATAATTGAGAGAAATAGGTAAGTTATGAAGTATATACATAAACTTGTGGATTAATATGCCAATCTTTTTATAGGTAAAAACTGCATTGTATATTCACATTTTGCCTAAATGAAGATTTATTAAAATACATTATTAAATCCTTGAAGTAAACATCTGTGTCTTTCCATCTTTGTACCTCTATTGTTGCAGGACAATTCCCTGGGCAGCCTAGTTCTTCTCCCTTTCTTGCTTGTAACTCTAAAATGTGCTAGAAATGCAACATCCTGGGATAAAGAGGAATGGCCTGGAACAGTCCAGGTTTTATTCCAGTCCCAAAAGAAACAGGAGTCCTTCGATGCTTTAGCCAAGCACGTCGTGTTGCCCCTGGGGTATAAAACCCACGGTGGGCAGCTTTCTGGGGTCCCTCAGCACTGTGTAAGTGGGACACATGCAGATAAGGAAGATTTTCTGACCTTGGGGAACCAGATCTTAATAAAGGTTGGGCTTTTCATTGTTCCTTGCCATTTATTTGTAAATACTAAACTCACTTCATTGTGTGTGAGAGTATTCTGTTTCACCAGACTCAAGCAGAAGATGTGCAGTCCAAAATGCAGTGGGCTGAAGTGTTTGGCCTGCTATCCCTGGTGGTTGGAGTAGTGATGATCCTTGCTTGTTATCCTACATGTAATAGGCGTCCTCCCTTGGGATTGGTAATCAGCAAATTTGTTTTGCAATTGTCTAGCATAGTGCCTGTTTGTTGAGTGAAGATTTATTGAATGAATGAATGTTACAAAGGAACCAGCCTCTTTTCTACATTTGCCCTAGAGCTAAGAGCCTGATTGTTTTGAGATGGGTATTTTACCAATTTTCCCTTCTGGCTTGTCCCATCCTAACCCCCAAATCACCAACCTAGTCTTTAGCTAAGTGACCAAATCACAAGACTTTCTATCACATTACATCTTAATTGCCTTTCAAATGAAAAGCATCAAATTAATCAGCTTCTTCTACATGGTTAGATAGGATTTTCTGTCCTGCTGTTTTCTGTAAAAAAACAAAAGAATCACTTTTGATATGAACTAATGACTTAACATTGGATTCTTTAACATGAGATTATTTTTATAACTGCTCTTAAAAATTAAGAGTACATGTGTGTCTGCCTACAGCCTAATTCTTGAATCTGCCTGAGAAATTGTTCTCATAGAGAACATTTTTTTAAAAAGAACTTTTAGAGGCCAAAAAGACTTATAATCTTCTCCTACCCAGTGAACAAGCTCTATGTTTTTCAAAGACCTTTCAGTCTACCATTTCAGAAAGGTCTTGAAGAGCCCTCTAGGAAATTCTCTTTATTTAGAGTTTTCTTTTTTTTTCACTCCTAAAACAGAAATCTCCAATACAATGACACATCTGGGTCACAATATACTGTCCAAGAAAATGAAATTTCTCTGCTATGATTTATGCCATAAACTCTCTTAAAAAAGTACGATACTATACACATTTCTCTGCAAGTAGCATGTTTTAAAAAGAATAAGTTATATCTATAACTGCACATTATTTTAGAGTATCTGTTTACTACATTTCCCTATTGCTTGACATTACCTTTACAGACAGCATACCACCAGGCATCCTTGTATATATGTGTGTGTATACATATCTTATTAGGTAGTGCCAGATTTTTTCTATTCTGGATTCTGAAGTATAGCACAATTCTATATATAATTAGACTACATCTTTACAATCTGATCTGAATCAAAATCTAGGATCTCTGCTTTTGAAATTAATGAGAATTCTTTAGATGCCAGGATAGAATCTCATTTCATCCTTCACGCAGCTCTCTCATTGACTCACAATGTGTAAATAACTAGGACAGATAATAATGTTATAGTTTCTACTCTTCAGATGGGAGTAAAAATAATTAGAACTCACTTTTCCTTTTATTTTAACCCACTTGCAACATCCCTGAGCCAAATCTATGAGCAATGTAGCATTTGTTACTTTTGCTTATTGGGAATCATAATATATGACTCAATTTCAACATACCTGGGAATGTAGTCATCGGAGTACCTGTACATTTTATCTGAAAGATATTAAAAAAGAGACAGATCAAAAGAAATTTTGACATACATTTGTTAAATCTTCTACAGGGTGTTTGAGGGGAGTTTAGCTTCAATGTTAACATCTTTAATCGAGGCCTTAGGGCCACTGATGATTGAAATCAGGGTAAAGACCTCCTATTTAGCTCAATCAGATTCTCCCTTGGTAAGGTGGGATGGAAACAGTGCATCTTGGAAGTGATGTACAGCCTGGATATGTGGCCATTTTATGCTCAGGAAGCACTAAGCAGAGAAAGTGGTAACCTTCATTCCTGCCTGTCTTGTGGTTCCAGCCCATTGTGGGGCACAGCTGTACTTTCTGCCTTTGAGTTCTAGGAAACATCTCTGCATTCTTCTGATAAGTTTTTCTCTTTCCTCATGCTGGTTTGAATAAGCTTTTCTTCCTTACCAAAAATAAATAAATCAAAAGAAAAAATTCCCTGGCAGACAGACAGTTCTTTGCTTTTTTTATTCTTTATCTTTAACATTTCTTGGCATGTGAGCAACAACAACAAAATGACATTAAGGAATCATGATTCCATTTCATCTACACAACACAAACAGTGGTCAGGAGAAATAAGGGTCCTAGGGACAAGAGATCTGGAAAAAGCTGGAACACAGTCTCTAAAATTAAAATAGTAGAATGACTTAAAAAGTTCTCTCCACACAAAAAAGACAAAACAGACAAGACATGTAGGACAACAAAACAAAAAAAAAAAAAAAATGACAAACCAAAGCAAAGAAACCAACCCACAACTGAAAAGTGAAGTGCAAAACAAAAGTAAAGGAGTATTTTTACTTCTAGTTAAATATATGAATTCAAAAGATATTAGAAAATAGAGTTCTAAGAAACTTTTAAAGCAAGTCAGTTATTCATAATGACTTACTGAGAAAAATTAAGGAATATTCAGAGTACAGTTTTGATAGTTAAGATCAATATTATGAAGAAATCAATCATTCATCAATAAATTTTCTTTGATGTTGAACTAGACAGATGTACATAGTATGATGTTTACTATATTTGAATTGCCTGTTATTTAACTTGACATTAAATAAAAGCCAAAACCTTGCAAAAGCTATTCATATAAAAATGAAGACCAGTATTATATCTAAGTTTCTAACAATGATCCAGATACAGTAGTATCAGAATGTTGATCCTTCAGCTTTAATATATGAAAAATACTGTGTGTTGGTAAGGAACTAGCAAAAACATTTTCAAATAATTAAGTCACCACATGACTGCAAAGATTATTTTTAGCTAGGTTTATGTGTGACAAAGTTGAGTTATTCTCTAGAGAGGTTATTAACTGTTAAAGAAACATTAGCAGAACGACTTATGAAAACAATCACATTGGAGGATGAAATGGACATGTCACATGTCAACGTGTTAGGAAGAATCCTGTGAGGAAAAAATGAGGGAAGATTTCTCAGAGCACATCTCTAAGCTGCTTGGGGACCAAAAGTGATGAACATAAGCCATTTGGGATGTGTCAGGAATACACTTCCAGCCCACAGAAAAGGTCCCACCATGAAATGCATGTAAAAGATGCAGCTACTACTTCAGATTAGTCTTGAATATGAATACATGTAAATGCTAGGAGAAGCCTAGAGTGGTCTAAAAGATGTTGCACAGTAGCCACCAATTAAGGACAGTTCAGCAAAATCAGAAAACTCGAGAAATATAAATCTTATCAATAATCATAAGAAAAATTAATGTAGACCAGAAATAAGTTTCTATATGAAGAAAATGTTTATACCCAGGCCACTAATTATTTTCCAGATTCACCTGGAATTAAAGTACATGCACAAGAATTTAGTCAAACTGTAGCCTGATATATCATGGAACAAGTTCAGGGTTAAGAATCAGAAGACATAGATTTGGTACCAATTCCGCAATGCATTTGCCAGGCAACAACATGCAAATGATTTCAAAATTCACATTTCTGTTTTTGTAGAAGTAGGGATAATGCCTATTTCATGGAGTAGATGTGGAAGATAAATGATAATTACTGTGAAAACATTTCATAAAATGACAAAGTTTGTTATATATTCTAAATACATATTATATAACAAATCAGAATTGTGCTCACTTGATTTGAGAAGTTTCTTTATTAAGTGAGTTACCTGAAAATAGACTGATGTTATAAAGATGGTATTTTAACTTAAAAGATTTATAAGTAAAGCTCGATTTGGAATGAAATTACTAAATCTCGCCTTTGGCAAAAAGATTGTCACCAGCTAAGCATTAATTAGAAATTTAAAAAAAGGTAAAAAATAAAGATTTTAAAAACAAAAATAATGTCATTGCTTAATAAGAAAAAAATAGGTATGGAGTAAAAATATTTCCCCAAACAGACTAATATTTTTAGAATATGCATTTTTCTATTAGAGGTGCTTGTAGTATGAATATTGGTACCTGGAACTATACTAATGTAATGTGTGATGGTTAGAAGGGAAATATAGCTGATGTATTAGCAGCAGAGAAAACAAGACCAAAAAGCTTTATAGGAAAAGGGTAATAGAATCAGCTATATAAAGGATACAATTAAATAATGCTTAGATAGAAGGAAAAAAACTATACCAATGTGAAAAAGAAGACACTAAGTAAAAGAGCACCTGAAATGGGGCCTAAGAAGTTCAAGGACACCTCACTCCATGCCACTCTTAGCATGTAAATGTATAAGCTGGAGCTGGGCAATCAGGACAAGGGTGGTTTTCGTTTTACAGTCCTTCCTAGACGAAGGTTAATAGAATATGAGCTCTTTAAATGGGGAGGGGTAGTAAAAGGTTCAGAGGTTACAGCTAAGAATAAAGGTCCACACGCTGAGGCTCCTGAAAAAAGAGTTCTTTTGTCATGAAGGCTTTTAAGTTTATTTAGAAACACCTGGCATGATTTAAAAGCTGCCTAGTGATTTCAATGGCATATAGCGAAATAAAAAGTGTGCCCTTTACTATTAAGCAATTAAGTATGCAAGATGGTGTGTGGGAAAAACTGAGTGAGCTTTCGCAGTTCTCTCCTGTGATTCAGATGCAAACACTTGTGGTCAGGTTTGTAGTTGAGAGGGTGTGATGCAAACACATTTGCTTTTGTTTTTCCCTTTAGAATGTTCATTCTCCTATGCACAACACAACAAGAAAAAGCAGCACATGGTTTAAATTCCATAATAAAACCTTTCTAATACATTTTCAATGTGAAAAATGGGCAATAATTTTCGAGCGAATAGGAGATGTACAGATAGGACTTTGAGGTACGAGCAAACCATACACTTGTTTATCCAACTCTTCCTCTCTACTTTGAGAAGGATAAAGAATATTCTTTGGATTTAAAGGAGGAAAAAGCTAATGCATTCCTATCACAAAAAGAAAGAAATATAATCCTCTTAAACAACAGATTTGGAAAAAGAATCTCATAAAAATGAAAGATTTATTTTGGAGGGGATGAAAGAACTCCATTTCAAAGCTTCTACCTAACTGCTGCAGAAAACATCAAGGAGAGGCTTATCTGGTCTATCTGATTGAATGTGTAGATATTGTATTGTTGTTGGGATGGAGATATTTTTTTTGTGTGTGAGCTTTTTAATACACAAGCAAAACTTATTCACTGACTGTCCCCCAAGGTGGAGTCATATCTTGCAAGTTTCTTAGCCACAAAGAGTCACACAAAGATGCAAACATAAAAAAGTTACATGAGGCCAGATACAGGAGCATTGCATTCACAGACCAAGTGGCAGAAAAGCTGGCTGGATGCGATAGAATCTCTTCTAGTCTATCTGTTCCGAGAAATAAAGAAGGGAGAGGTCTTTGGTAGGACTGGGAAGGGATCAAACAGTTTGCAGGGCTAATCCCCAAACTACCTGAAATCTCCATTTGTTCATATGGCATGGAAAAGGTGGCAGATTTATATCCAATGCCTGGGAAAAGATGTCAGGAGACCTTGGGACAGTGGGAAAAGGCTAAAGAGAGAAAGGGTAGAGGTGGGATGAGAACAAACCATTGTAATAGCATTGATAATCGCTGCTCCAAGGTTAGTCTTAGGTTTGCACACCGATAAAGTGCAAGTGCTAGGGTTGCGTGCTCCACCCAAGGAGGGCACGTTATTGCTTAAATAAAATAATTTGTGATAGGCTAATGTTTATAACCAATTCCACAAAAGCCTACAGAAAATTCTCTGAAATGGACCTGAATGTGACTTACATGCATACAACAGTTACTGCTAAAGCTCAGGGTATTGTACAGACCTGTTTAATAATAACAGAGATGGGGTCAGAAAGGGAAGTGGGAGCTGGAGGGGAACTAGAGGGCATAGGGATGGTGGGAGCACTGAAGAAGCCAGAGGAACGAAAGTTCACTAAAATAACAGACATTAAAATTAAATGAGATGGTATGTAGCCATCAGAGGCTCTTAATAATTATTTGTGGAAAGAGGGAAGGAAGAACTAGAGCCACCAGTTACAGTGATGTGGGCAGTGTGAGGTCTAAGGACCTACTAAGTCCCCAGCACTATAAAAAGGTGGGTGGGTGGGTGGGTAAGTAGGTAGGTAGGTAGGTAGGTAGGTAGATAGGTAGATAAAATTCTCACAAGAACCCTATGATTAGATGGTATTTCCCACATGCTCTAGACGGGAAAACAGACTCAGAGAAATATGTTACTTGTACAAATCTCCCAGCTAAATACTGAAAGCAGAGTTCTAACTCACATCGGGTTGACTTCAAAGGTGTGTTTTTTTAAAAATAAATTAAGGGCCGAGTACTACTCAGCCAAAAAAAAAAAAAAAAAAAGATGAATAGCTTTTGCAATAGTCTGGATGGAACTGGACACCATTCTCCTAAGTGAAGTACCACAAGAATGGAAAAACAAACACCATATGTACTTACGATTAAATTGGAACTAACTGATGAGTACACAAGTGCACAGAAGGAAGTAAAACTCATGGAAAGCAATTGGGGGAAGGGGGAGAGGGTGGGGCAAAAATCTATCTAACAGATACTATGGGCACTATTTGGGTAATGGACATACATATAGCCAGGACTCAAGCATTACAAAAATGATCCATGTAACCTAAAACATTTGTACCCCCTTAATAATTTGAAATAAAAAGAAATTGAGGGGATTGAAGTTGATTTAGAAAAGTACATCAGTAAATGTAATTTATTATTTCCTATTTTTAAAAATGTCCTTTCCTGACACACTACTTTTATTCAATAGAATCATTTATGGAATGTCTGGAATAGTACAATTATACAACTGAAATAAGAAATCTGTCCTGAAAAAGCAAAATGAAAAAGTACTCTTTTGTGAGTTAGGCTATTGTCTTTTAGCAGTGATCAACTTACCATTATAAGCAAGCTACTCCACAAAGGAGTTGGCATGGTGGCAAATTGGTATGTATATAGATAAATTCCAATGCACAACCAACCAAAAATGAAAATTGTAAAGCCTGTTCACATTGAGTTGTAAAAGACTAGTATAGCCAAATACTTCTGGGGCAGAAGTAATAGGTCAGTAAAATTAGACCAGTCCTGATCTTGATCATGTTGATAAAAAGTAGTTAACATCCACACCTTTATGTAATCATAGGGCTGAACAAAATGACTGTTTAAGTTGAAAGTAAATAGGTCACACTTGCTAGATGAAATTTAAGTTAGACAATGGGGCTCAAGTTAAATGTGTCAGTCTACTCCTTACCTGGCCTTACAAAAATCTTTTTTTTTTTTTAGTTTTCTTTATTTCAGCATGTTATGGGGTACAAATGTTTAGGTTACATTGTTGCCTTTGCTGCACCTGAGTCAGAGCTTCAAGCATGTCCATCCCCCAAATGGTGCGCACTGCACCCATTAGGTGTGTATATACCCATTCCTTCCTCCTCCTCCCATCTGCCTGAGACCCGATGAATGTTACTGATCTATGTGCACATAAGTATTGATCAGTTAATACCAATTTGATTGGTGAGTACATGTGGTGCTTGTTTTTCCATTCTTGTGATATTTCACTTAGTAGAATTGACTCTAGCTCTATCCAGGATAATCACAAAAGGTGCTAAATCACCATTGTTTTTTGTGGCTGAGAACTTCATGGTATGCATATACCACATTTTATTAATCCACTCATGTATTGTTGAAATTAGTGAAAGAGGAAGGTACTATTTGAGATGCTTGTTCTTGCTGTGGTTTCTACCTTAAATTATTTCACCTCTCTAGCTCTCAATTCACCTTTATTTCACATTCAGGTGAGAACATCTACATTCATAAAATATCTTAATGAAGAAATTAAAATATAGTCAGTTTAAACTATTGTATAAAAAAGTGCTACTCAACTCATATTTTCCTATAAAAGAAGGAAACTTTATAAGTCAGATTTATAAATAGTCCATCATGAGATATCTGTTACAAAGTTTATTTGAAAATATATTTGATTTTTCAAATAATTGCTGATAGCATTGCTAATAAAAAGCATTGTTTGCCTGAAACTTCACCGTAGGTATAAAATTATGTAATATAGATCCTAAAAGAGTGTTAGGTTTCTGGGTGAGGATATTTGGTCAATAATACAGTATGTGCTGATAGAAACCATTTTGGACAGAGAATTAGAAAAACTGGGCACTTATCCTTGATTTTGATGTTGGATAGATGTATGACCTCAGCTATGCCACTTCATTTTCTAGTGCCTCCTATCTTTTTTTTTCAAACCTGCATGACAATAACGCCGCCGCCTTCATATTTTATGTTAGAATCACCAACACTTGAGAACATATTTCTAAGAGGATCAAGGACACTCCCTGCAATCTGACCACTGTTATAAATTAGCTTAAGGCAACTTTTCTTGGACACATGTATCTAACTTAATTTTGTTAACTTAGTTTTATTTCCTTTTATCTGTTAAAGAAAATGCATTTCCCCTTCTTTTCTATCCTTTTATTACTACTAAAATGTCCTACTCCTAAGAGTTTCTTGGTATTACGACACCTCTCAACAATGGTTGAACTCTCATTCTTCCATCCATCCATGTATTCAACATGGACGTGTTGGATGCCTACAGCATACAAAGGTTGCTGGGCTTTATGCTATTTTAATCACGGCATGTGCAAATGAAAGGCACATGGTTCAAACTGCTGCCTAGCCTGTTGAATAGCAAAGCTGACAGTGGCAGATACTCTTGACTTGCCCTCCTAGCCCCTGGGAGTGTTTAAGAACAAGCCCATGGTTCATCTATTGCTTTTCCTGTCCCCTTCTGAGCACACCTCTGCCTGTTGCACTTGAGTGGAGCTCACTGATCCTGAGAAGACTAAATAGGCTTGAGTGGAATCTTATGGAGCTAGTCTTCCCTTTTCTCATCATGCATCACATGCATCATCATGATGCATCTCATCATGCATCTGGCTGTTCCAGAATAGACTACAATTTCGTGGGCTGTTCACTAGGATAAACCCTTCTAACTCCACACCCTACAACAAAGAGAGAAATAAAGCTAAACTGGGGAGTGTTTTTTTTTTTTTTAACATTTCTAATATGATTGCATTCTTAAATTAAGAGAATCCTCAGGGTGAAAAATAATCATCAAATAGATTTTCTATAAATAAGATTTTTCTATTGAATGACATTTTATAAGATTGTCTACTTCCACAGGTTTTTCCAGTGACTCCACGGTCTCCATTCAAGCAGGTGCCAGGTGGCTATTTGTCCAAATGTCTTACCTTGTCGCTGCTTTTGCACACAGTGGGAAATGTTGAAGATCAACGATATGACCAGAGCCAGACCCAAGAAGGCTAGAAGTCCCCAGAGATAAAAGGGGCATGCAGCATTTCCTGGAAACAAAAGTAAGCACACCCATAATATAATAGCTGCTTACCCATTTGTTTTGGTCTAGCTACTGCCACAGTTAAAGCCATTGCATTTATTCATAATGAAAGATAGATCCTCTGCCAGGAAATTAACATTGGCAACTTCTTACAGATTTCAAAGTGGTGGTTGGTGATTAAGTCCCTGAATTCAGCATGGGCAAAAGAAAGCACGTTTCCCACATTCTTCATGTTTATGAAATAGAAGATATTTTTAGTCTGGCTATTAAAAGGTGACAAATGGTATCTGATTATAAAAACTTTTGTTCAAAATCAAGAATATTCAAATCACTAAGAATCATAATTTGCTATACTTTCCCCCTTTCTTTAATCTTCAGATTATTAATACAATCACACTTTATTTTTGTTTACAGAAACCACTTGTTCCCTTCCACTAATCTTAGTAGTATAGGATAGTGTGTGTAGAAATAAAACAATAATTCTGGAATCATAGTAACCCAGTTTTGTTAAGACTGGCCACAGGGAGATTTTTCTCATACTATTTACAGCCCCATGAATGTATTATGGAGAGTTAATTATTACTCTCTTTTCCCTAGGCCTACACAGGGTCTGGATCATTAATATCACATCTTCCACTTCCACATCTTATCCCACTGGAAGATCTTCAGGGGCATTAACATACAGGGAGCTGTCATCTCCCGTGAAAATAATACCTTCTCCTGAAATACCTCCTGAAGGACTTGCCTGATGCTTTTTTTTTTTTTCTGTATTTTTTTTTTAGTTTTTATTTTGGCATATTATGGGGGTACAGATTTTAAGGTTTCAATAAATGCCCATTTCCCCCTCTCCCCCCAAAAGTCTGAGTCTCCATCATGACCATCCCCCAGATGGTGCACATCTCACTCACTATGTATGTATATACCCACCCCCCTCCCCCCTCCCACCTCCCCAATACCCTATTACTGTAGCACCTATGTGTCCACTTAGGTGCTACTCAGTTAATACCAGTTTTCTGGAGAATATATCTGGTGCTTGTTTTTCCATTCTTGGGATACTTCACTTAGTAGTATGGGTTCCAGCTCTAACCAGGAAAATATAAGATGTGCTATATCACCATTGTTTCTTAGAGCTGAATAGTACTCCATGGTATACATATACCACATTTTATTAATCCATTCTTGGATTGATGGGCACTTGGGCTGTTTCCACAGCCTTGCAATTATGAATTGTGCTGCTATAAACATTCGAGTGCAGGTGTCTTTTTTGTAGAGTGTCACTGGATCATTTGGGTAGATGCCCAGCAATGGGATTGCTGGATCAAATGGTAGATTCACTTGTATCGCTTTAAGGTATCTCCATATTGCTTTCCACAGAGGTTGAACTAGTTTGCAGTCCCACCAGCAGTGTAGGAGTGTTCCTGATGCTTTTTACAGTTACTTGTTTTTGTTTAATAAGTAACAGTACACTGAAAAGTATTATAATAAAAAAGTATAGTAAATGCATAAGCCCATAATATTATCAAGTATTATGTACTGTACATAATTGTTATACTTTTATACAATTGGAAGCACAGTAGGTTTGTGTATACCAGCATCACCACAAATGTGAATAATGCATTGTATTACAACAACAGCTATGAAGTCACTAGGCAAAGGAATTTATCAGCTCCATTATAATCTTATGTGAACACCATCATATATATGGTTCATCATTGAGCAAACCATCATTATGTGGCACATGACTCTATAGAGTATAGTGACAATTACATGGTGTAGCATAATATAGTATAACTTCCTTAAGAACATATTTTACACATAAGTTATTATAGAGTTGACCAGAAAGCTGCATTGTTTAAAATCAAGCATTTAATGGATACATTAATAATTTACCTTTGGCTAAATTGGACTTATAACTCTGCTTTGGGCATAGTCCAGGCTAGAATTATTGCATTAAATCCCTATGGCATAACTTTGGGTCCTTGATCATTCAATCATCATGTGTTGAAAGGATGTGAAATTGATTTTGGAAGGATTTTTTGACCCTGCCTGTGTGAAACTACCTGCATCTACCCCTGAATGAAAGTAGAATGGGCTTTGATGACTTTCTATTCTGGGAAATGTCCCATTTATGTTTCCAAAATTTCTTAAGAGAATGTCAAGACTGCTTCCATCTCACTGACCATTAAAGCATACAAGCTGCCCTAAAATGACAACAGAGTTGAACTTGAGGTTGTAGTCAGAAAATAAAATCTAAAATTCTCTCTTGCTCTTTTTATTCTTTTTTCCATTTTCCATATTTTCCGCCTTTGTTATCAGGGCAAAATAAAACATGTTTTAAGAAAAACCCAGCTGTATAAAACTCACATTTGAATTTGCTAATTATAGAGATAGTATAGACTATAAAATATTATTTAATGCATTATTTGGTGTCTCATGTATAAGGACCTGGGCATCTCCTCAAGAGCTGGTACATTTTTACTCTTATATCCCATGTAAATATTATAATTGATCATCTGTCTTTGATACATAACCTACTTTAAGCAAATCTCTATGATTATATGATACTCATTTTTGCAGACTAATTGTATTCTTGCCCTTATTGTCCCTTTAATCTGACTTATTTGGTTATCTTTTACACTGTTGTATGTATTTCTAATATCCTTCTTTCTGGGAGAGGGGCAAATAAATACCTAGAAAATAATAATAAATCTCTAGCACTTATCATCCTTGGGAAAACTAATAAAAATCTCCTTTCCCCTTAGTATTTTTTCCTTTCCATTTCCCACAGCATCTAGCAATTAGTATATACTCAGTCAATACTTATGGTTTAGGTAAATAAAATATAGTGTAAGACATACCATCATACTTCAAGGAAGTAAACAGAAAGCCCTAATCTTAATTTAAAAATTGCCCCGAATCTAGCTATAAATCATCCTATCATTTGGAAAAATTATATTTCAAATAGAGGTTTCATTATTTCTTTTCCAAGTAAAGGGAGAATCAAAATAGTTGTATTAGTCCATTAACTGCTATAAGATAATTTTGCTCTCAGCCATAAAGAAACAACAAAATCAATGTCACAAGCCTCTATGTTACACAGAAGGCTTTAGGGAAAGTCCTAATAAATTTCATGAAATAATGTCAGCAACACTTGGGCCACACTGTACATTCCTTAAGGGCTGTGTTTTATCATTTACTCCTCAAGGAAGGAACCCTTGGGCTCAGGAGTGTGAAGCCATCCTGGGCAATATTGCAAGGCCTCATCTCTTAAAAAAAATAAAGAAAAAGAAAAACCACACATATGAAAAGAGTATATATTAAGTAGCTAAATAGTGGAAATTTTCAACTTGAATGGCAGATCTGCATAAATGTTCATGCACACACACACAATTTATAACTCCCCTTACACAGTAATTCTAAATGTGCAGTATAAATATCTCTATACTCTTGCATCTACTTCGTAAAAACAGTGCCTCTTTTAATATTGGATGCATAGAGTACTTAAAAATTCTTGCGACCTTTAGTATCATTCATTAATTGTAATTACTTTCATTTATATAGCTTTTATCAATTTAAAAAGAACTCCCACACAATTTGAATTTAGCTATTTACACTATTAAAAAGCCAAAGGCCTCACAAAATTATTAGTGAGGCAATGACAGCTAGGAAAATCATGATTTAAGTTTCTATGTAGCTTCCAACTGCCAGGGGCTAATAGTGGGTTTAATTACAAGACCTCTAACTCCCTTAAAGCCAAGAGTAATTGGCAGGCACTGTGTTTGGAATTCATGATTGCATGTGTGCTGGGAGGAAACCCAGCTAAGCAAATACAATGTCTTTCTGATGGCAGGTTTGATTTATACAGAAGCCTTTACTTAAACAATTAATAGGAAAAGGTAATATGCCTTGTTTCTACTTCAGGCTTTCTTTAACTGAGATAAGTGTATATGTTTATAGTATATGGCCTCCCTTGGCTTGTAAACTCTGTCAGAGCAGCGAACATCTCTTTGCAGTCCATGAACATGTATATTTATTTTAGGCATCCAGAAGTTTTGAAGAAAAGTAGTGATATTATGATCTCCATAGGTCTACTTATAAAATGAGTTTTTCTTAACATAGTGATGGTTTGTTGTTAAAGCACATTCTTGGTGATTTTTTTGAACGTGGCACATCATCATACGCCCACAATCCCCACCACTGCCATCCAAGCCCATCAATAAAAGGCGTTAGAATCACAGATATTAGCACAGGAGGGGGCTCTCAAATCAATGCCAGGCTCTCAAGTAAATAACATACTGTTTTTAGTGCCAAACCTGAAATGCCGATCTTAAATTGGTGTCTATCATGAACAGAGGGTTATTTGCGCAATGATGCTTTGTGTTGGGGAGTGGGCGGTGATGGAAGAGGGAAAATGGCAATAGTGGCCCGGGAATGCCTGTTTCAAACAGTGTGGAGACAAAGGTTGAGTCATCACTCCCTGCTTGTGTGCAAATCACAGAACTTTACTGAGCCAATCATAAAACTGGAGCTCAGATCTTCGTTCATATAACATGGGGCCACCTCCTCTTACTACCTTATGAGTCCTCTCAATCAACACTTACTGAACTGAAGGAAGTATACATACAGGAATGAGGTGGAGGCAGATGTTGAGAGAAGATGTTATGATTTCTCCAATGCTGGACTTCTTGTTGCTTCTACAATTAAACTTTGAGATTGGTAAACTTCAGCAATTCTACTGGGATTAAAGTGTTGCCAAAATTCCTGCTGTAGATGATCCCCTTTTTATTTCTATTTAGCCACTCTATTTTATATAAGTACTTATTGTTTCTTATTAGAGAAGCACCTTTGTAGATGCTCTGAAGATGCATGGTTGTGTAGAACCTTTCATCCAACAAAATACCTTAACTACTATGTTTCTTTTAATATTTTGAAAAGGTCTATTAATATTTTTCTCTCTTCCTTTTAATTCAGGAATGCCGGGAAAACCAAATGTAATTTAAAAGGCCTAGAAAAGTACCCAATAATGATATCTATTACTGACTAGCAATTTGTGGGGCATTTGTTTCTCAGAGCTGTGATCTTTAAGTGACAATATTTTTTGAATTGACTTTTATTAAAGTCACTGCCAAATATTACCTAAATTACATGAAGAAACGTTGTCTTTCACCTTCAGTTAACATTGTTTTTTACTTGAGTTTTAAAGATGACGCATAAGTTAGTCCTACTTATTCTCTGAAAACAGGCTTTCATTGTTCTCAAAAACATGACTGAGCCACAAGAGAAGACAAAATTGGGTAAAGACAATGAGAATCCTTTTTTTAAAAAAGCGCAAACTAAATTGTAAATCATTGTTTAAGTTGAATTAATGATAACCCAAAGGAATTGCTTTCACCCTTTGATTCAGCTATTATTGATTTTCCATAAATGCAGAAACATGGCAGGAATTAAGATACCAGCACATTTATTGATGATGGAGTGAATACAGGCATTTAAGTAGTAAAAAAGGAAAGATTTAGGTTTGTGTTTTTATACATTGTTTTACTTAACTGGAAGTAATTTTGCTTTTTTGTGTGTTCAAATGTATTTCCTTTTTAATTTTACCTGTGTAAATATAAAAATTAATATAATCTAATTCTCTTCTTCTTTCACATTAAATTTTGTTTTGCTCTGTTTCAGCTTTTAATATCTATAAGTCTTTAAGGGCAAATACTTTGCATCTCTCTTGTGAAAGTAAAAGGTCTCAATTGGCAATGGAGGAGCTCCTGTATTATACCTGAAGGGGAAATCTGCATTATAAAATGTTATGGAGGAAATTGATCCAAACTTTCCAAATTTAGAATTAATTAGTCCTGAAAATAGTTGAATGTTGAACTCACTGCCTTTGGCCTTCCCACACCCTTCCTGAGTTCCTCATCATTATCAGCTCATGACAATTGAACACAGTACTGCTATGTCCATCTCTTGCAAGGCACTAACAAAACTCGAACAATTGTTTTTGTTCTTTGCTATTTATGAACTGGAAAAAATGAGAGGTATGAAAATCATATGTTAGCTTACACTCCCTGTGTGATTTATGGAATCAATTGACTTTAAGATTCATCAAACAAAACACTGGAAGTAAATTCACAGAAATTATAATATTAATATATAATATCTTCACTCTATAAATGGCCCATACAAATTAGAATAAAAAGCATTATAAACATAATTAAGGAAAAGATGTAATCAGACAATTCACAAATTATAGAATTATAAAGTTTTAAAAGCCATGCAAAAATGTTCAATTTCATTATAATCAAAGTACTGCATATTAAACGATGAGTTAGCATGTTATGCTTATGAAATTAGTTAAGGTTTTTATAAATGATACCAGCCTGTTAAGGGGAAACACTGCTAGGATGAGAGTGAATTGGTATCACTCTTGGAAAAGCAATTTAGCACTAATGAGACTTAAAATGTTCATAAACTCTTATTCAGTAATTCCAATTCTAGAAATCTTTCCTAAGAAAATAATAACCCTTAATACACAGAAAAATCTATAGAGTTGTTCATCTTTCTGTCATTTAAAATATAAAAAACTGTATATAACAAATATCCAATAGACAAATGACTAAACTATATAACCCAGTAGATGTCATTTTTGTGCATTCATTTAAATTAATGTGCATTCATTAAATTTGGCAGAAATTATAATAAATTGTTATGATGTTAGTGAAAAAAGCTGGATATATGATTTTCTGGACATTATTATTCCTTCAGTTATGAAGATCAAACTATGTATGATGTATAGAAATAAAAATTGGAAGGAAATACAACATAATTTGTGTTTTTAAGGTGATGGAAAATATGTAAGATTTTTAAAATATATTTCACAGTTCTCCCACTTTACATAATATACATGTTTTTTCTTACAAGAAAAAAGATATTTAAGGAATAAAAAGTACAAAAAAGAATATAGGAGAAATGAACCATCCATGTGGATTCACGACAGTGAATGGATGTGGATCCATCCTTCACGATCCATTGCACGAGCCATTGACTTTTCACTGGCCTTTTCAAAATTGTCATCTCTCTAAACGTTGGCAATTGGATTGACTGCTGGGAAGATACTATCATGCCTAATCTCTGAAGAATTAGAATGTAGAATTAGAATTACACCTATCCTGCTTTATATCTAAACTAAAGAGGACTAGGTATGGTCAACAAAAGCTTTAAAAATAAGTACTTCAAAGGGCATAATTATCAATGCACACATATGGTACAGTTACTACTAACTTTATATTATAAAACACTGCCTACTTTTTTCTTTTGAGAGAAAATTGTCAACTTGTACTCAATATAATTCAAAACATATTCTAATTATACTAAAGGTTATCTGACACTTTTAAAAATAATTGTGCTAACTAACTACTTTCCAAATATTCAGGATCTTTTTGTTAGGACTTAGAAATTAAGTGAAATGTTAGGCATAGGAATGGAACAAAAGAATTCAAAGTGCCACTTACCTGACATGCTTCTTTTTTTCAGAAAAATCCTTATGTAGCCATAGGCAAATCTTATGTATTAAAAATGCTTCCACAAACTTTTTCTTCCGATTAATGTTGCTTGGTTATGTTAGCAGCATGTCAGCAAAACTTGTCTTTATCAGTACCTCACAATTTTTTTCTTCTCTTCTGTTTCTTCAAATCTTTTGTGTGTCCTTTGTTCAGTTACAAACAGGAAATGTGGTGATGGAGGCTTCTAAAGTTTTGATCTGAGCACAGCAGACTTAAATTGTTGTGTAACGTGGGAAGAAAAATCCCACAAGCCTCCATTTTCTGGTATATGACTTTTTTTTAAATCAATATCTGAGTCTAATTTAAAAATAAATAAATAAAAGTATGAATTAAACTAGGAGGGATCTTGCCTATCTCTGGAGAGAATTCGGGAATCTCCCCACAAGTGAATTCACATGGAAACAAAATAAAATACATTAAACTAGCAAGTGAATAGCAAGCAACCCCTGGGTGTGATCTTTGAGAAGCGTTAAAGGTCAGGTAATTAATTCTATCCCACTGGGAGACTAGATGCCTGCCTTACTTCCTGCCATCTCACACCCCAGCCAGCAAAAGTCCTCTGTCCAGTTTAGAGTCACCTGGCAACTAGTTCCAGTTTTCAACCACCACCCCAGAGTCTCAGTGTCAGAAGTTCTTAAATGTTGGTGTACAGAAATATGCTATGTGGCACGAGTTTGAAATGCATTAGTTTAAAATCTTGAGCCCTACTGAATCAGAATATTTAGGGTGAAGCACTGGAATATGTATTTTAACAAGATTTCTGAAGTGCATTTTAATATATATATATATATAAACATAAGAAAAATACTATTTTAATATAGCTATTCTGGAAAATGTTTTCAGAAATTCATATATACGGGATAGAATTGATCTTATTCATCATTAAAACTCCAGAACCTAGAATTATGCCTGGCACATTATAGGTCTCAATAAATATTCTCAACAATGAATGAATAAATAAAACAATGGTAGAGTCTTGTACTTTTTCCTTGTTCCAGTATAGAAAACAACTCGCTGGTAAACAAAATACAGTCTTCTTTATTCTTTGGACGGAGTTGGCTAAACACTAACAGATTTTTCCACTTCAATTCTTTCTTCAAAAATATTTCTTATGAATCATTGAATTATAGCCTATAAAACTCTATAAATGAGACCATGGAGATTCTCTGGTCTAATCTTTAAAAGCATTTTGATACTATGTTCCATGGAACACTGGGCCTTTAAGAAACTCTTAGAAAAGAAATGCTACTTCAACAAATATATCTGGAAAAACTATATAGTATTATTTTCACTTCTATAGTTGCATATTAGTATATTAAAAGTTTAGGTAAGTCTTACAAAAAGAAAACTGGAATAATCTTTTTATCAGTAAGTTTTTCTAAATTTACTTGGCCAGAGAACTCTTTGTTCAACAGCTATCTATTATATTAATGTTAGCAGGGTGACATGTTCTATGAAGCAGGCCTGGATATCCACAGACCAAGACTTCAAGGGAACAGTAGTCTCAGGTTTATGAAAGGACCAAAGGACAACAAGGAATCAGAAAGTTTCTTCCTAGAACTAAATGGAACATACGGGCAGGAGACTGCTAAAGAGCTTAATCCAGACATTCAGGAAGGTTTAGACACTTAAGACAGTTCAAGAGAAGAGGGCCCAGGTGTGGGGTGGCCTTGAGGGGTTGACCTTCAGTCCTGAAAAAGGGAAGCTGGTCAGGAGGGCAGAAGCCCCAGGCTCAAGAGGGGACTACACAGGTTTCCTGAGAAAGACCTTGGAATATGGCAAAGCAGATGCCCACAACTGGAGCATACAGAAGACATTAGAGAGAAAAACAGTCTCAGGACTAAAAAATTAGGAGCAAATATCCTCTTCTGAGAACAAAAACATTGTAGAGGATGAGGAAAGAAAGACAGAGGATGCCTACATCCTGGCTGATCCATACAGTGCAATTCCAGAACAGTAATGGTGTTCAGTAATTAGGTCAAACTCAGCAAGAATGACTCAGGTAAAAATGCAGGAATTCTGTGGTTAGCACAGAAGGAGTACCTCTCAGAACAGCTTATCAAGAAGAGAAACCCAAACCAAACCCACCCAATGGGATACCAGCTATCTAAGGGCTTCCTGCCTCAGGTCTGTGGCTCTACACATACAAGTCTGCAGGCAGCTGAGGAAGAAGGACAGAGAAGACAGGCAGGCACCCAGGAAGGTTGTATCCGGCTTCAGGGGGGAGCCTGTAGTACATGTTGAGTGATTATTTCATGGTTTAAAAGAGTTAAGGTACATCCTAAATGCACCAGTGACATCTCTAAAATAGTAAAAACTTAGGCTAATAAATCCAAACCACTTCACAATTTCTAGTTATTATAATATTTTTAAAAGTGATCTGCATTACAATGTTCTCCATTCTTTAGATCTATATAATAGGCAGCTATAACAAGATTGTCCAAGATCGCCCAGAAAGTCCATGCCTATGCATTAGGTAGTTCCACAGATGTTTGAAATTTGCCAGAAAAAAAAACAGAAGACAGCTTTTCATTAAATGTAGATGGCTGAGCACATGAAGACATTATCAGAATATAAAATAACATATATATATATATATGTTTGTTAGGAAATACATGAGTTTGTGCATTCAGAGACTTGAATGACTCCATAAGCCATGTCCAAATTATAAATAAGCACAAGGCCTCTCTAGTACTTTTTATTGAGATGAGTTATCAAAATGAAGTTTAAAAGATAGCTAGACTAAGCAAAAATGTCCTGACAAGCTTGAAGCAGTTAGAAATGTTGTAGGAAATTTTGAGGGGAGGTTTTGATGGGCACCTGTCAAGAAATAAGAATTTTAAGGTCAACAAAATTGAAGTTTTGTTGCCAAAAGAAAATGAAAAACATGTCAAAATGGCAGCTGCCACTCAGAGGTTCAGAAAAATAGGTCACAGAATGCAGACAGAGCCCCACTTTTTCAAATCTTGTTTATGATCATTTATAATTTTTATAATTAATTTTATCACTATAATGTATTTATCTATATCTGTGTGAATATCCCTATATATAAAGGGCTGTGTGTGTATGTGTGTGTGTGCGCGCGCGTGTATAGTCCAAGGTGTTCCAAACTGGTATTAGAATATATTCACAAATGCATTTATTGTATAAACTATTCATAATAACATTCATTACTTTTATAATCAGAACAAATGATACATCCTTATTTTAAAAGCTCTTTAGAATACCTTTATTTTCTTAACTCTTTGTATAATTTTTCTTTATTCTAGTGAATCACTCGTTAGTCATACTAAAGCTATTACAAAGTAAGCAAACAATTTTATGAATAAAAGGAAGGGAAAGACCACCTGTGCTATTGATTATGCTGTTTTGAAATGTAAATTTATTCAAAATTAATTATGAGGTTGCAATCGCATCTGATTAGACTATAGTAATGATTCATATTTTCATTGAGTTTAGACTATAAGGTCTTCTAGAAAACATAATTATTCAGATGAAAAGGTTAAAAACAAGTTAAATACAATAGAACAATGCATAGATTTGGCATAAGATTCTCTGATTTTTTGTATTATACTTATTATGCCTTACAGATCCAGAATTCTTAAAAAATTAAACACCGAAATAAAAGAGTAGATAACAAAAACTTTAGAACTAGGAGTGAAAAATGTCTGAATAGCAGATACAGTTGATTTTCCTACCTGTGAGGGGCTTAAGTATCTGAGTTTTCTAAAAGACAACAATTTGCCCCATTATACTGATTTCTTTGTGATACCCTAGAGGCAATACTGTTAGCAAAGCTAAAGCATTTTTATAAATTTTCTTATTTGAAACATTACTGGTTCAAACAAAGTAGAACCAGTTTATTAATATGTCCTATAAGACTCCTCATAACTTTAGTTACCTAATATGCAATTTCTCTTCTTAAGAGGAGGATATATTATGCAGTATTTTTAAAAATATTATTGCACAAGAGTAACATCTCTTTATTTTTAAAGCATTTTGCAGGAATACTGTTATGACATATGCATTTTAGGAAACACTGGATCAAGCAACTTTTTCTTCCTATTGAACTGGCTCATACCATCTGGCCTCCTTCACCATTCAGGGCCTGGCTTACTTGAGAGACACCATGATAATATCACCTTTACCACCTAAACATGAATTTTTATCATTAGAGATGGTTTTCTTAAGATTAAAAAAGGAAAGAACCCTTAAAATTCAAATGCCCTAGGACAACTAAGACAGTGAGCATCCTCAGAATAACTTATACAGTGAGTCTAGTTTTAGTGAATCCTCTACCAAATAAGACATGCAGTATATTAGTTTTGATCAAAATAAAAGATTTGATGCTAGACTATTTCTAGGAAAAGGCAAATTTTAGTTGGAGGGCCCTAGGGAGTGGGAACAGTGAGTGGAAGCAGGACAGTAACATGCAGTGACACACCAGTCAGGGTCCTGGCTGGAAACAGATGCTAAGAGTGAAGAGGGATAGTTCAATGAGTTGGATAAAGGGGCTATTTACAAAGGTGCAAGCAGAGCTAACAGGAAGCACAAGGGAAAGTGAAACCTCTAGGCTAACAACAGTGGCAATCAATGACCACCTCTAGGCTTGAAACTATTAGAAGAGTATTAGTGACTGGAACCCCATGAAATATAGCTGTAAGAGAAGCCTGCCTGACAGGAGTTATGGCTTTCAGAAAAATGAAAAATAAAAAATCACAGCCATTGCCATGATCAGGCAAGAAAGGAGCTGTGGGAAAAACATCCCAATTTTGCTTTCCTCTGCTTCCAGTCTCCCACCCATTCTCCTCATTGGCCAAAACCAGTAGTCAAAGGGAAAGGCAGTCCTGAGGATGCAATTCATAGAAGTCAGACTTCCATGGCTCAAAGAGGGTTGAAGAAGAACAGAGAATTGGCCTGAATTGATAAACATGTAAGAGGTCTAGTGTGAACTTAACTTTAGATAGGTACTATCTGTCCTCCCAAACATGGACTTGATAATTTCATATATAGACTCATCCTCCAGAGCATAGAAGAATAACTAAGAGTAATGTATTTTGATATTTTCAGCTAGATTCATCAGAATAATTTTATTAATCTTAAAATAACACCTAAAATGTCCTAAATAATATTAAGTTGGTTCTGCATAGAACAAAACTAAAACTTATCCATAGATTATATAAAAATTATGAGA